CATTTTTGGTGAGTACACATACCTCCGAAATCCTATCTACTTTCGAGAAAAAAAATCGAGTAGGTGCTGAAATTTTTCGGCGAAAAAAAATTTTTCAAATCGTTTTAAAAATATTATTTTCGGTTGCGGGGGTCAATTACAATCAGTTTTTGTCATTAGACATACCCACGAAATCCTGCCCACTTTCGAGAAAAAAAATAGAGAAGGTGTGAAATTATTCGAGAAAATTAAAAAATTGCAAATCGTTGTGGAAAAATTATTTTCGGTTGTAGGGTTCAATTACAGTCATTTTTGGTGAATAGACATACCCCCGAAATCTTGCGCATTTTCGAGGAAAAAAATTCAGTAAGAGCGGCACTTTAAACGTTAATAACTTTTTAACGAAGCTTCCACCAACAAATTAGTATTCTTGATTTTTGTCTTATTTTGGCCTCTACTATCGCTCATTAAAATTTTTGCTAGAGGTGGCCGAACACCCTGTATATATTATCAATATATATTCTGATCGATGTAACTGATTTTATTTAAAAATACTGTGTCTGCTCTTGATAACAGTAGAAATTTTATCATTTGATGTTACGAGTGCTTAGGCGATTCTTTGTATTTTTCACCACACTGATTATTCAGCGGCCAAGTTTGATTGATTCAATTTTCATGGACAAAGGATTGAACTTTCACGAACAATGGTATGTTTAATCGGCGTAACGAGCACATGTAGAGTTTAGGAAACTTCTCGTCTTAGCAGAAGTTCGAGCAAGCAATTAAGATATAACGTTAACGTGGAGCGTGGAATTCGCAATACGTGTCTTATCGACTCTGTTCTCTTTTCTTCGGTATAAGATTATCGAACATAAATTGTTCCAATATTACGATAACAAGGGACCGTATTATTGGATAAAACTAATAACAGTTTCTATCGTGTCTTACATCATCAAGCAATTTTCATCAAAGTTCGTTAGCATCCAAACGAAGAACTGTCCAGCTTCTAAAAAGCGTACGTCCATGAATTAGAACGGTTACGAGCGTCGACCAGCCGTAAAGTGCAATCGCAAAATTGTTTGGTTTAAAAAGAGAAGCCTGAGACAAAATTTAATAAAATAAAAAGTCGCTATAAAATTTTTAGGATGCCAGTAAAATCTTATCGCGCGCCATTCATTCGACGTCGCGGTTCTAAACTGTACCGCGAGCCCGAAAAGGCTCAGAACCGCCAGCATAGGGCGATGCAGGGCAATAAGTTATAGTCTTGTGAATATCTTTTATTGCCTTTCCCAGCAAAGGAGTCACGGTCGTTCGAAATTAGATAAAGTAGAAAATCGAAAACGCTTTGCAATTTGCAGGCTAGGAGCGAGCATTGTCGCCCGTTTCAATAAAGACCGAACGTGGGATAATTATGCATTACGTTTGCCTTTGTAGTAGGCGCTTTTGAACGCAACACGCTGGGGTTTCGTGGCTTACGTTGGAAGAGATTAAAATTAAATTACCAGGCATTGAGTACGTACGGAACAGCGTGAGCGAATATAGCCTATCGTTTCATTAACCACTTGCCTGTCGAGTTTTTCTCGCTGCGCTGCTCTAAGAAAAAAAGCACTCGTTTGTAATTCGTGGCAGGAAAATTAAATAATATTGCTGTAGGGTTTTCTTAGAAGGAAGGATGATACTTATGAAATTGTGTACAACGCTACTGTTTCTATGTTTCACGCCGTAATTTGCTAATAATCTCAATAGATATAGTTTGTGTACTTTTAATAAGTGGCGTTGTTCCGGCGTTCTCTTGTTACGTTAAAACTTATTGTATAGTTAAGATATTTCATCCGGCCTCATAATTGTTGGAAAAGTGTGCCTATAAACAAGAACGGATCACGGTCGGTTCGCTGAAAAAAATCCGTCCCGCGGGGAATTAATATCCGTCCGAACGGGTTAACAGCCAGCGGCACGCTTGTACTTTAAAAATTACCAAGTCGACTAATCTCTTAAGTCCCGCATTAAATTTCGCGTAACGGGAGCGCGGTTAACGCGGAAGTATACAAGCGGAAACACTGTCTTGCGGCGTTTAATCGGCGGGAAATACCGCGGGATCGGGCTTTTCCACCGTCCCGGAAGATGAAAACGACTTTTTACGGTTCCAAATCCGCGCGGAGGATTTCTCCCCGAATGGAAAAATCCGCGGTGCACTGTCGCGACACGGTCCGTCGAGAGAGAGAAAGAGAGAAAAAAAAAAGAAGAACCTTTGCGTCGGACCGAAAAACCGTAAAAACGCGGGCGTAAAGCGCGGGCCATTTAGGAAGATCGATCGATCCCGCGAACGCTTACCCGCGAATGATCGATGCGCCGTTCCCCGACCGTGTATCGGCGTCTTTTTTCCAAATTGAGGGCCCCCGATTCGCGGATAAATCGGCCATTCTACCGACGCAATTTCTCGAAAACGATGTCAGAAGTATCGTCCTCGTTGCGATATTCGCACGAAGATTTCAAGGACCGAGTGTCTCAATTCCTGCCCTTCCTAATTCTCGATCGCAAAAATTCCGCCATTTCTCTTGAAATCAACACGAAAAGAAACGCGGTAAAGTCAAATTCTCGACCTCGTTGAACAGGGATTTATTCAAATTTCTCTAACGTTAAAAAGTGTTCTTTTAGTTATAACTAGACTGTGGATCTTTATGCAAATTCACATTTTTATTAATAGAATTAATAAAATGGGAGCTTTGTAGATGATTGTCTCGAATCCTAAATATAATAATTCGTATCTTACTTCAAGTATTTCTTATATTTTTGCATATTAAATGCATTCTGTAGTTTTTCGAGGATTAAAATTTCTCATAAATGCATAAACATCCGCGTCTAGTTATAACATATTTTAACTCTTCTCCCTTTAAGAGACCTTTCTACTTTGTGGGATTAAAAAAATCGAATTTTTTTTGCATTGTCTTTTAGTATGTAGTCTCGAAAATATATCTGCCAAATATTAAATTGAAATTCCGAAAACTAACGAAGTTATAAAACTTTATGACACTTTAAAGCTGTTTTTCTCGAAACTATATTTTTCGGCACTGCTTATGTGATAACAGAAAAACTATTCAAGATATCAACAAGAAATTTATACAGTATCTTTAGAACTGGTCTCCCTATAGCATGAACTAGAATAATCGCGATATCTGCAATACTTTTCATTTTATTAACAAAAAGGCAGCCAAATATATGAAAATATTCAGTATTTTTTCGTAAAACAGCTGCCATTTTGCCATTTTTTGTTCTTTTGAAAATATCCTAGTTCATGCTATAACCACACTCAGCTACATTAAAAATATCGTTGGTTTTTGGATTTCGGATAACTTGTTCGCAAGATATTACATACACAGCTGTTGTTTAATAAAAACAGCCTAATCAATGGATATTATGCGTTGCAAAAATTCGTAAATATAGCTAAATATATAATAAATGTATCTACAAATTCTGGAATTAATCGCTCTTTAATAGCCCGCAAAAAAAAATCACAAAGAAACATGTATTATTCGTGCCTATAAGGTAGAATGGCCCCTCAATTAGAGTTGCAAAATATATGTATTTGGACATCTTTCTTCGAGAAAGAATATAATAAAAATCTGTGGACGCCACACGGATCGAAGAACTCCGAAGATTGGAATGCTTCGTCACTGTTGATATTCGTTTGGAGTTTAGAAGCGTGTTTATGACACACGTTGCGTACGAAATATGCGACGGGGAGGAAAAATGATTGTTTCGCTTGCGGCGTCCGAGTGCTTGCAGCGTGTAAACACCGTGGACGATCCTCGTGCGCGCGTCAGGAAATCAATGTTAATTTGCGCACTGTTCGCGATTTATTCTGCTCGGAAAAACGGTTTATCGGGCGAGAAAAAAAAGAAAAAAAGGAAATATATATTCGCGGGTACGTGTAGAAGAGCTTACGTCCCGATGTAAACGTCAGCGTGCTCGTGACGCATAATCCAGATTTGTTGTGAAATAAATTGCGAACACGCCGGTCGGAATTTATTTCGCCATGGATCCGAATCACGGGCTACTAGATTCGTTAGCGCGGAAATATTGCGCATTTTCTCTCTATTACCCCATTCCGCGTGCAAATAATACTTCTCGAATCGAATTCACGACGATTGATACGCCGTCCCCTCCCCCCCTTTCGGAAGAAACGTAATTGATAATTATATTACGTCGTTACCGGAGGTGAAATGTTTGCGATAATTCAAGTTTGCCTGTTTTGATCGATCGACGCGAATATCGTCGGAATTATTAATCGTATCAAGGAATTCGAACACAAATGGCCCGCGATGGAACTTTCGATATCCACATTGTGGAACATGATTTCGTGCTGAACTTCGATTTTTTAACGCAATAATATTAAAATGCTACGATATTTTGTTCCAAATGGTCTTAAATGACCATTTCAACGATTAAGTATATGAAACACCTCCACCTATAAAGAAGTGTTGTCCATAACATGGTCGACGATATTTGTTTCTGGACGAATTTAAATGGAACGAGCTGTACAGAAGACAAATTATAATTCGTAAAAAGGAATAATTTATTATGCGTAAATACACTCTAAAAAATGATCGAAGTACCGACACATGTGTTATCTTTGCTCGTGTTTAACTGAGCGAGTGCGTACTTCGCTTATTGGGGAAAACGAAGCTCGTTATAAAAATCTTTTATCACGCATTTTCCAGTTTACATTTGCTCGATGGAATATCACGTGCAACGTAATATTCATATATGATATTGAGCGTTAACACCACCACGGTTCGATGGAGCACGTCGAATTATTCGGACAGTTCGGCGGAATCTGAATTCTCCGTTTGCTTTCGTACGCGAAACTGGTGAGAAACCGAGAAGTGAAGTTTTGCGAGAACTGTGACCATTGCGTTTCGTCGTAAGCTGCGTCAACGAAGGAGAAACGAGACTCGCGAAGGAAAATGACGAATTATGTGTACCGTGCAATCGTGTACTACTTCCTGATTGTTTATTTAAAGGGTCTACTGCAAACGTTGAAGCTCTATTCCGGACATCCGGCGGATTTGGTAAAGTGCACAGCCGACTTCAATGTAAGTAAACTTATAGTATTAAGAATTATTTCTAAAGAGATTTCCTAGAAATATCAATATTTAAAAATATTTATAATACGAACAATGAAATGCATCTAATCCATTTTAAGCTTACAGAGCACGTGAACTCTGAATAGGAATTTTGTTCGTTTCTCATTTTCCAGTATAGCGGATTTATTATAATTAGACTGCGGTTCTTTATGCATTTATGGGGAATTTTAATTCTCAAGAAACTACAGAATGCAAAAATATATGAAATACGAATTATTATATTTAAGGGTTGAGACGATCATCTACAAAGCTCCCATTTTATTAATTCTATTAATAAAAATATGAATTTGCATAAAGACCCGCAGTCTAATTATAATTTTTCATTCTTTGCAGCCTCCTCGATCGATCTTCCATTTACGATTCATCGATATACTTTTTCAAAGTAACGATATCGATAGCAGATTAAATCTGTATTTTATTATTATTTTTAATATCATAGTCCTAGATTCTAGGGCCGATCTAGGAAAAAAAAAGTTGAGCGTCGAAACAGAGAAACGGGTTATTCAATTTGAAGAATGGACGTTGGCGAGGGACAGGGGAATTACAAAAATACATTAACGAGGGAGGGGAAGAGAAGTGGCTAACGTTAGGAGAGAAAGAGAGGCGAGAGCTACCTTCATCGAAACGAAAATATAGGGAACAGGCAAGTCCAAACAGGATGGGAGGAACATTGTGTTTTTTTATACCCTTCTCTCTGCCCTAACGCTCAGCTCGTTTCTTTTGTATTCCCTCTAGGTCTCAATCCTAGAGTCTAGGGCCATGATATAATATCAAACAACCGTCACTCGTATTCAGAAAAGACGTTCTTTCCCCATCACACGTTCTTAACGAAGTCGCAAAAACTATTCCTGCTTGATTGAGACGTTTCTCCCCGATTATTGTATTAAAAAATATAATTATTACTTTCCCCCTGTCAAGTTTCTCATCGTATCTTTATTCGTTGTATTTTAAATAAACTTCACGTTGCATTGAAACGTTCGAGAATTGAAACGATATTTATTGCGTTTAAATACAAGGTATTAACCCTTTTGCACTCCAAATTATATTTCAATTTTGTTACCAGCAGCTTTCAAGTGTTTTATTTGAAATTTACGTTAACTAAAAAATAAAGCAATTTAAACAAATTCAATTAAATATCTGTTTAATTTACACTGATGTTGTATTTTGTAATTTTCAAGTGTACGATATCTCTTGAAACTTGTTTCGCAAAAAAAAGGATTGATTCCCCTTCTTCCTTCAGGTATTTCTCTGTTCGAGCAAACTGTACAAACCTTATGCTTTCTTTCGGAATGTACGAAAATGAAATTGAATTCTATTGGTTTGAACTTGAAAAAATGTCGAGCGGGACTCGAGAAAGGAGCACCTGACATAAGAAATTAAGAACTGATGTCGAGTCACGCTCCACGCAGGAGTGCAAAGGGTTAAAAAACGCTTCGCGATTGTTTGGACAAATAGTTGCTCGAGGGCGCGTGATTTTTTTTTCGTGAAATAATTATCGTTCTACGGGGGAGAAAAATTGGTAAAAGTCGTGGGATATTGACGAGGCTTCCCAATAGGTCAGCGAGACCCGATGGGATAGTCCCGAAGGTGTAACGCTGCACCGCGAATGGATCCCGGTGAGTCAGCAACGATAAATCGAGCGATTTATGAAGCGGCACGGGCAACGGACCATTCTCGAGGAATAATATCGCTGTCGACGTGCGTGTGCACAGGTGGGACAGGGACAAGGCGGGATCGACGGTCTTGATCCCGATCCGCGATTCTTGATAAACGTCCGTCATGGACCGATCGATTTATACCCTCGTTTTTGATACTGTCATTACTTTTATATCGTTCCACGCCACGTTACCCGTTCGTGGCTCGAGGATGCGCCACTCGCAAAGAAAGAACGAAAATTGCCCTCGATTTTGATCTCCGATATACAAGGTGTCCCCGAAAACTCACCTTGCAAAAATTAATTTGCCGCGAATAATATCGTTCCACGTCCGAAACTGTAAACGTATCGCGTATCAATAATTTCCCCGTTACCACGCACTCGTATCCAAATTAATACTCGAAAATTGATATTATTCTCGATTTCGTTTTCGGCCCGGGAAACGAAATTTCACCGATGATTTCCCACTTCTATTTCAACCGTCCCGTCAAATTCCATTCTCTCCATGATGCCGTAACGCGGACGTAAAAAAAAAAAGTGAAAATCGACGCCGCGGGTTATTTTCAATTACGACGGGGATAATAATAAAAGTAAAAGGGGGGGGGGAACGCGCGACGGTTGAAAAAAGTGCACGACCGTGGAACAAAGACGTGCCGGTGACACTTTCTACTCGTCAATTTATTTAATCTGCGAACGTCAGTTAAGCCGTGGTCGAAGCATCCCGGATAGATCGATCGGGAAATCTTCAATCAAAATATGACGATGGCGAAACGCGACACAACCCTCCCCCCTCCCCCTCCGTTTTAAACGTAATTAATTTCGGCATAGATTCGTATCGCGGCGATAATTCCGTTCCGATTACCGCCAGCGATCTCGTAGGAACGCGTTTCACGTCCGCGGAATAATTATTGAACCGTCCGACGAAACAACGAACCGTATTTACGGCCCGCGATAATGTCCATTATAAATATTTTAGTTCGGGAATAATTCGCTCGGGAACGCCCGACACGAGTTTATCAACGATCGAATAAAAAGTATCGACAGCTTTTAATTGATTAACGAAAGAGTTTAGAACCGTGGCTGGTTAATGACCGGAGGCCATTTTATATTTATTTAACGCCAGCCAATGACGCGACGAGGGTAACGCGAAATTATTTTCGGACGGAGGTTAACTGTGACTTAATATTTCAAATGGAAATTCAGTTGTTTGGAAAAAGCAACAACGCTTAATAAAATTTGAAGTGAGAACTGACATTCTGTCTCGTGATACGCGTCTGATTCGAAAAGATCGACTTGTCGAAAATCTAATTAAATCCGTGCAATTAGTAGGGAAGGTTTGCGTTACATCGATGTTGCAACGTCGTAAATTAATCGCGATCGGGGGAGCAGATGGTAAAATCGATGAAATTTCGCGTTTACACTTCGTTAGAAATGTTTAACCATCATCGGTTCTTACGGTTGCGTGAACTTACATTAACGAGTTCTGCTCGATAAGAAACAATAACGGCAGTTCGATTTGCGAGCTGCACAGCGGCGAATGGCAACCGGGGAAATTGCCGATAAATAGAAACAACCTCGGGCCGTTATTATTTCAGAATAGAGTTGTTCGTTTAATTTTAATTTCTTTTTTTTTTCTCTCTATCAACTCGCGAATAAGGAAACTAGATTTTTTCGGGGTTCGTTGGACGAACGTACAGATGTGGCAGGTCGATGTTTTAAATCTCTGCTGAATTGGTTCAAGTGTTTCGTACCGCGCGATGTGCAATACGATGTTTTTATTAAAAATATTTCTCACGGACCGACGAATACCTGGACGTATTTTCTACGGGCTAGCAAAAGATATTTTCGAAAAAAACAACTGCCACGGGTTATTAATATCAATTCTCCGCGAAGGAATGTTGTACGCGAAACATTGAATATTTTTAATTGAGATAAACTATCCGAAACGAGATACGGAAAACATGCTTTATGATTCGTAATTCGTTACATGGCTTCCGCGAAGGAATTTTTTTTAAATAAGCAATGCTCCATTGATATAATATTTTACGCAAAATGTTACGTTCCAGCAGTTGTTTTAAATTCTCACGTCTATTCTATTTACAGTTTCTAGCCGTTTTCGCTACAAGTGTTCACGAAACAGAATTAAGACAATGGATTCCTCAGCAACCAACATTCGATAAAGGCAACTTGCATTTAAACGCTGTGAATGATTCGCGGTTCCATAGCTCGACTTAAAATGTTGCAATCTCTTGTCAAATTGGAGTGGAAAAGATTAAACTTTGTCTGAAAATAGCTTGACCGTTTTAAGATTTAATATACCGTTCGTACTTACGAAATACATAAAACATTTAAATTTATGACATCGTGAGACGTTGAATTCTGCTTTCTGTCAAGAATATTAATTTAAGTCAGACAATTTCTTCTCTAACAATCGCTAAATTTGAACGCTTCGATAAATGATAATAATACATTAAAAAAGAAACAATTTTACAAAGGGGTCGAGAAAAAAATAATTGTTAATCGCTTGTTTGGAATTACCAATTGATCCATCCGCTTTAGGGGAAGTGTAAAGCGTTCAAAACTGTGTCGTAAAATAATTTTTACCAAACGGTGTGTACGCGAGCCGTGTTTGTCATGTAGAACGAACGCGATATATGGCGCACATAAATTCCACTTCGAGGATCGATTAAAAGTTACTCTAAAATACGTCATCCATTACTTACAAGCTGCGAATAAAAAATATGTCGAAGCACAACGTGGCATACGCGGCACACGTAAACCGTAATTGGGCCACGGTTGTCGTACGGTCGAAAAGTGAAATGGAATATAATATTTAATGACCACTCTAGTCGCGTCATTGGAAATAATTTAACAAGTCGGATTAATCTCTCTATCGTATTGTAAATTTCTATTGTACGGTGCTGTAAAAAGTGTACCCATTTATCGAATAATCGTAAAAGCTGCGCTCCGCGTTCCCTTATCAACCATTGTATTAATCAATTTTGATTACGCCGTAATATGAACAAATTGTAGAATATTCTTTTTCCTGGCTGTTCTCGTAATGAAAACGGCTGCGCGCGAAGAAAACGAGGAATACAGAAACGTAATTTCGAAACGAGTTAATCTCGTAATATAATTATTTTTACGACGATAAGAAGGAGCGTTTACGGAATTAAGAACAAAATAAACGTAACGGAAAATATGAAAATGTGTGTTTACTTACTGTTAATTAATAAAAATTTGCAGTCGAGAAGTCGAGTTTCTTATTAAAACAGATAATTCACGTATTAAAAAT